TTTTTTGTTGTTGAAACAAATTAATGTGTATTTTATTGTAAACATACAATTTTTTATTTATAAATGAAATGAATGCAAGTATTTGTGATGTGATTGAGAGGCAGATGAAGAGTGGGACCACTTATTGAAGTTTAGAGGACAAGGAATCATATTCTGTAACCACTGTCTGACGTCATTCAATGCATTCATATCTTGAAAATATAAATTGAAATAAAATTTTTAGTACAAATGCAATGAATTGTATGTTTATATGAATTTATATGAATTGAGTTTAAACATAAAAATATTGAAAGGTCTGTCTGTCGACGTGCTTCTGCTCTTAACGTGCTTTTCGTCTTTCAAATTATATGTTTTGTTCAAAAATTCAAAAATTTTTAGAATTTTTTACCCAATTATTTAAAAATAAATAATTAAAAAACATTTGTTTGAAAATAATTATAAGATTTATTAACAATAAATTATTATAAGCAAAATGATAAATATAATAAGTATAGTATTTGAAAAATAAAGCAAGAGTTGAAAAAATAGTAGTGTTCACTAAACAAATTTAAAATTATATTTTAAATAAATGGTTAATTAAACAACAACTAAAATTCTTTGTACTGGATATGAATTATCATTACTTCTCACACATAATTCATAGTACTATTACAATACAGTAGTTAAATATTAACTTCATTTACTCAAAAGTGGACAAAACTTTTCAATTATGTTAAGAATACTTAATGAATTTATTTAACGTTTGTTCAGTTTAAGTGTTTATTTGTTAAACAATTAAAGAATAACTACTTATACAGTATTTTACAAATAACAATGAGAAGTGCTTTTAACTTTAGAAAAAATAAAGGATTAATAAACATGTTTGTTTAATATTGGTTATAAATTATAGCTAATAATGATTTTAAATTATTATTAATAATAAAGTTAAAGCATTTTACCATTTTAATTAAATACAATTCAAAATATATCTTTTGATGTAATATTGTTTTATAGACGACATCGACTCGATTTCCATGTGTTGTAAAGATAGGTCCGTCTCATTCAGGACAGGGAAAGATGAGAGTAGAGAATCAGCAGGACTTTTACGACTTGGCCAGTGTTGTCGCCGTCACCAAAACCTACTGCACTATTGAGCCATTCATTGACGCCAAATGTGATGTTCATATCCAAAAAATCGGCAATAATTTAAAAGCCTATGCGTTAGTCTATTCGCTATTTTAATATAACATGTAAATACAAAAATACTTTTGAGTATTAATTGATTGAATCAAATGTTGTAGTCGTAAATCCATTTCTGGTAATTGGAAAGCAAACGTTGGATCCGCTGTTTTGGAACAAATCAATGTTAACGAGAGATACAAGAAATGGATAGAAGACGTGTCCGAAGCGTTTGGAGGACTGGATATCTGTGCCGTTGAGCTCATTGTTGGAAAGGATGGAAAAGAGCATATTATTGAAGTAAAACATCAAATGATAATATTTTTGTGCAATTAATTGAATGAACACCACATCAGGTGACGGGATCTGCGATGACTCTTCTCGGAGAGTCTCAAGAGGAGGACAGACGAGCCATCGCTGACTTAGTCGTACAGAGAATGCAATACATCTGTAGACCGGCCTTTGGGTTTGACATAAACTCAATTTTCGTCATTTTTATATCCATTTAAACTAATTTTATATTTCTAGCAAACGTCCGAGTATTCCAACAGGTTATGGAAGCACTGAAGAACAACCATCTGATGGACCACAATCTCAGGCACAAGTAAACTTACAATAGTTGGTTTATAAAACTAATTTAACTCAATAAATATATTATAATTATGTTCAGATGGCCGGTAGGGTTGGGCCGACTGGTCAGCAGCCAACTAATCCGACGCCTCAAAGGCCTCCACAGAGACAGCCATCACAACCAGTGGCCCTACAGGCGGGCCCTCAGACACAACGAAGAGGATCTAAAGACCAAAACGAAATCAACTCCACTTCTGGGGTCACGAATCCATTCTCTCATCAGAACGCAGGCAATGTTGGCGTTAATCAAACACCAGTTGTTGATAATCAACAAAATGTAAACCAAAATCAAAGCCAAAACAGGCCGACACTCTTCAGAAGGACTTCTCAAACCGGTAATGAAGAGCCGAAAGGAGATGAAGGCGAAGACACGATGAGAAATCTGCGTAAAACTTTTGCCGGAATTTTCGGCGATATGTGAGCCATAGATGATGACTATAGGCGAACATCATCTCATATACAGAATATAATTATAAAACTATACATTATATGATTTGCAATTTCAGATCTCATTTAATTGGTAATCGAGTGATTGTCTAATTGTTTCTATTATAGTGTAAAATACCAAAAAAAAACTAATTAATAGTTATTGTAAACATTTTTATTATTAAGACTTATGTCAAGCTATTGTTGTTAACAAATATAACGAGTTATCAATTACTCAAGTGTTGGTGAAGTTATTAAAAATCTATAGTTTAAGACAATTTAAAACTGCATTGGATTTTGTTTACAATTAATATGAATTATATTTTAAAATTCAATAATCGGTGCAATTGTTGTGAAAATAATTATTAATTGATATAAACGTGAAAATATGATGTATTATTTATACCAAACTATACGATACAATCAAAACTATAAACATTTTATGGTTTAATTTACATTAAAAGCAATAATAATACATATTAAATATATGTTTATGCCATTACTTTAAACCATAGTGTATTTATGAGGTTATTCTTCAAAATACATTATAATTTCAATTATGTTTAAAGAGATATACAAATAATTAAATTGAAAAAATACTATCAAATATAACTGTTATTAATATGAATTATACAACTAGAGAATCATCACTTAATTATGATAATTATAATTAGAATACTGGTTATAATCATATAATTTATTGTTAATCAATGGATTTATTTATTCTCATTTCGTATAATTGTGTTCACGAAATAATTGAGTTAATAATTATATGATTAATCATCAAATTGTGGCCTTTATTTATGTCAGTAGATCTTAAAGTAATTTATTAATTAATATATTTTATCAATAATTATGTTAACAAAACAATAATTTCTATGAATTTATAAAAATTGTTGTATATTTAGTCAAACGACTCAACAATTTTCATTAAACAATTAATAGTCAATTAAGTGAACAATTATTAGTTTAATAATTATCGAAATATGCAGAAAACAATTGAATGAATTATAAGATTATGTTTTAAAAGATTATATAAAAATTGTATTGAAAAGTGTGATTCGTTATCAATTAAAATAATTATTAAAATATTGATTCAAATGAAGTAAATTTAATAATGATTTTCAACACTAATTATGGCAAATCATTCCAATCGATGGCTTTGTGACCGTTTTTCTTCAGGTAATCGTTGGCTGAAGAGAAGTGTTTACATCCAAGAAAGCCTCTGTAAGCAGAAAGAGGACTCGGGTGTGCGCTTTGAAGCACTAAATGCTTTTTCTACAATCAAATATCCATTATAATCGGGTTATAGAGAAATAAAGCAAAACAAATGTGGATAAAAGGGTGGAATACTTTGTTTATAACGCTTCCCTTCTTTTGAGCGTAAGAGCCCCACAACAGGAATACAACGCCTGAGAGGTTAGAGTTAAGCCATTTGATGACAGCATCGGTAAACTGCTCCCAACCCTTATTTGAATGAGAGTTGGCGTTATGTGCCTTAACTGTAAGGCATGCGTTCAACAAAAGTACACCTAATAAATAATCAATAATTAAATTATTAGCCGCACATCTTATTTGATTACAGAGACAGACCCTGATTGGCCCAACCCGTGAGATCTCCGTGATTTGGTTTCTTAAAGCCATTGATATCAGATTCAAGCTCTTTAAACATATTAAGCAAACTATAAAATGTCAAAACATTTAACTGTAAAACATTATCTGTATTATAAATTCTACAGCTTATAGAATACCTCGGGGGCGCCGCAACTCCCTTTCGGACACTAAATGCTAGACCTAAACAAAGATTAAAATTATTATAAAAGTTGATATAATTTGGTAAATGACTAGCCGTGAGCCTGATTTGGGCCGTGATAGGGGTCCTGACCGAGAATCACTACTTTTGTCTGTTTAATAGTAGTTTATTGTTAACATTAAGATATGTTTAATCTTTTGAATTGGTTTTACGTGTGAAATGTCATTCATAAGAGTCCACGAGAAGACCTGTTCGATCGGAGGATAAATTGTCGACGAATTGCGCTCCGATTCCAAAAATGTGCTCAACTTTTAATTCAAAATACAAACTCATTAGAAATGTATACAAAAACAAAACGCTAATTACTTGTTGGAAATAAGGTTTGGAGAACTCTGATCGAAGTGCCCTAAACCAAGTGTGGCCAATATTAGGAGAGAGAGCACTGGTTTTAGCCGATTGTTTAGCAATCATTTCACTCAAATCACAAACAGTGCTAATAGTGGACTGTTTGGACTGTTGTTGCAATGTTTTCTGTTGTTTAGCCTTATATGAAGAGAAGCCAAGTTTGAAATATTAGTTAATAAATATGGACTCAATATGAATACCGATTCATCGCTTGAGTCCCCATTTGCTTGAGTTTCACTTAATTTTCTTTTGACTGATTGGTTAGGTTTGAAGAATGATGTGATAGGTCTTTGCGACATAGCTTTAGATAATAAACACTTTAACATCTAATAGTTAATGCCTATAAATGAGTGAAAATGTGTATTATTATAATTAACAACTTATATTTTACTTATTTTCAATTTATATTTTATAAAATTCAAACAACATATTATGAAAGTCGACAAAACTTTCGTTCAAACAATAAATTATAATGAGATCACAGATGATTGCTATAATGTACACAATTTTAATTACAAAAATACTATAATTTTGAAATTAAAAAACATTTCCAAATCAAATATTAAAAGTCTTCGTCCATAAGAGACTTGCGTTCCTCATCAGTGAGCGAATTGAAGAACCCAGTGATCAGATGCTGTTCTGAATGGGCGGCGTTGAGTGGAGCGGACGTGTCCTCAAAATTGTCTTTACTGAGACCCGCTTTGTTCAGTACTTCCAACTTCTTACTAATCATAGGCCATATCATGTCATCGATTGTGTCTTTTGCCACTAAATAATAAATTTTTACGTCATTT